CTTATAACTGCTATTCGAGAGATTCTACCACAAATAAGAACCGGAGATGTCATCAAATCCGCCAAGCTCGTCGAAGGTCGATGTCACCTCTTATTACCAAATGAGAGCTAATGAACTTCTTCAAAAAGGGTCATCTCCATAAATTTGAAATTAGTGTATGAGACACAGAATTTAAATTGCAGGTTATTCTATAAGCTGTAATGATCATTTTTGGAGGAGTTCTTGCTGCAGTTTTTCATTGAAGGTACTAAAATTTTGTTGTAAATTATTAAACCACTTTCAGTTTTTAAATCAATTCATTGAAGCTTTATTAACAAGCATTCGTTCGTAATTACTTGCATCCATTACTTCTTTACTCTCATCCACCTGTATCAATGGAATTTATGTCTGTAAACGAATCGAACGAACACGAACGGGGGTATGTTCATAATCGTAACAAATGAATGAACACGAACATAAATGATTTTTTTTTCTTGTTCGTGTTCATTCGTTAAGGAATGTAGTTTGTTCATGTTCATTCATGTTTATTCATTTAAATGATAAACAAACACAAATAAACGAATATAAGCGAACAAATATAAACGAACACAAGAAACGAACATAAACGAACACAATTAACGAACGTAAATGAACAAAACAAACAAACATAAATGAACATAAACCACACCAATAATAATCACATAAAATTCATTAGTATAAGTTGCAACTTCATAGTTAATTTGTTTGAGTAAAGATAAAAACATGCATAAATAGTAATCAAACTACACGAAAATAATAAAGTTAAAGTCTTATAGTATTCAACAAAACGATCTTCTTAAAATCTAAATGTCTTTAACAATCTTCAACTTGCAATCATCAACAATCGTCAATTCACCATTCATCCCGATCAGAACCAAATGAAATTATATTAAATTAAATAAGTTATAACAAAAGAAAAATATTAAACAAATACCAAATAGCGTGAGGCGTGAGCGATAAGATTGAGATTTGAAAATAGATTGTTTCTTCTTTCCTAACAATTTTAGCATTATATTTTATTTAATTGTTTTGGGTTTTTTATTTGTATTTAAAATTAATTGAATTTTAAAATATTAATGGATATCAAATTAAAATTTAGTGGGCCTTAATATTTTAAACGGATCTAGAGAGATTAGGCTAAACATAAATGAACGAACATAAACGAACGAAATTAAACGAGCGTAAATAAACAAATGAACCCTCTGTTCGTGTTTGTTCATTTAATTAAACGAGCAGAAATTATTGTTCATATTAATTCTTTTAATAAATAAATGAACATAAACAAATTTTATACTAAACAGTTCACAAACGATTCGCTAAACGTTTGGTTCGTTTGTAGGACTAATGGAATTACAATGCATCCTCTCACAAATACAACATGAATGGACTTATAATGTCAAAAACATTTCTCTAATATTTTATTAAATAATTTTTTTTTAGTTTCTATTTTTTTTTGGATGTCTTCACCTTTAACGTTCTACAAAATGATATGTTTGAATTGGGTAAACTATTATTTAGCTCTTTTACTTTTAACACTAATTTTTCAAATTTTTTAATCAGACCACTTAACTATGTAATTGTTGTCAGTTAAGACACCTACAGTTAACAGTTATGGAAGTGATGATGTGGTTGTTAAAAATTTTGTTATAATTATAGTTGTAGTCCTTGTTGTTTAGATATTATATCAATTTGGTCATAATTGTATTTATTTCAATAAATATAATCTTCTAATCAGATTGTGATATGTGTCAATCTTTGATTGGAGTCATATTTATTTTAATTCATTGTAATTTATTTTGCTTCAAATATGGGGTGACATGTGTCACCGTAAAATTGTAAAAAATATACATGAATATACGTAAAAAATAAATATACATGGATATACGTAAAAAATAAATATACATGGATATACGTAAAAAATAAATATACATGGATATACGTAAAAAAATAAATATACATGAATATACCTAAAAAAATAAATATACATGGATATACGTAAAAAATAAATATACATGGATATACGTAAAAAATAAATATACATGGATATAAGTAAAAAATAAATATACATGGATATACGTAAAGAAATAAATATACATGGATATACGTAAAAAAATAAATATACATGGATATATGTAAAGAAATAAATATACATGGATATACGTAAAAAAGTAAATATACATGGATATACGTAGGTGGAGAATCAAACCTGACCTGTTAAGAAACTAAACAATGCACCTAACTACTAACCCAACGGTATCGGTTTGTTTATAATCATCAACATGTGATATGTATTTAATCTAATATTGTTTAAAACTTAAATTCTAGTATTATTTAGTTTTTTTCTTTATCTTTGTAATCGACAGTAGTATCAGTTTTGTGTTGATCGTCGATCGTCGATCGTCGGTATTCATTTTTTTCTTTATTTTATTATATTATATCTTTATTTTTTTTATTTTTAACAATTCTACCATTATAACACGTCTTCTTCTACCATTCTATGTCTTTATGAGACATTTTTGATTGTTTAAAACTATTTTCATTTATCATTTTTTATCAATGTTAGATTTGACACCGCCACGACTAATCAGGTTGACAATTTATTTGTTATCATGCGGATATTCTCTGCTTTGGACTCTCAGATTTGATTTGGATACACAATATGCGTTCGTAGATATTATTTTCACTGGCTCAATTCTGATTTGTGATTTGTTGTGGACTTTAAATAGTTTTATTATGTTTTGTGGTCCGTTTACCGATGCGGTTAGATTTGTTTGTATCTCTTTTTTTTCCATTTTTATTTGGTTAATTTTTTAACTTTTTCCTCGTATGATCATTGTGATCTTAAGTGATCAGTTTTCTCTTGTTTAAGAAAATATATCTATTATGTGTTTATTTACGATTATGGTTGTAAACCTTCGTTGTAATTTGAATATTTTCTATTTTTAATAAAATTAGCTATTTTTATAAAAATAAATAAATAAATTGAACTTTCAAATATATATATATATATATTCTTATCGTTAAATTAAAAATATACTCTATTTTTTCTTAACTTAAAATTTTTATTTTATTATTATCTGTTCTTTGGTTTAATTAAACCTCATTGTCAATGAAATATATATTAATTTATTATAATTTAATATAAATTAAGTAATGAATGTATATATTTTATTAAAAATTATTAATAAATATATTTTAAATATTTTAATAATTAATTTTCAAAATTAATAATTTTTCATTATTATAAGAATAAAATATATATATTTAAGTTAAGACAAGGACACAATATATTCTTTTAATTTAATATAATAATATAATATATTGTAGTTAAGATAAAAATAACATATATTTTTAAATTAAGATAAGAAAAATATATATTAAAATTAACATACGATTAAAATATATGTAATAAGTTAAGATAAAATAAAATATAATTTTAAAGTTAAGATAAATAAAATATTATGAATTTAAATTAAGTTTTAAATATTAATATACAAACTTTATATAATATGTTGTTGATTATGACCAATCCAGTGTAGTTGGCTCAGTGGTTTGGTAATTGCTAGGCAACCAAGTAAAAAAATTAACTGACTTTATTCCCATATGTAATGGGATAAGGGGAGGTAGGGTAGTAGGCTGCCCCCAACGCTAGGTTGAGAGCAACTTCCGTGGAAGACTTCCGGCAATTATGAATTGCCCACCGTGGGACTCGATCCCACGACCATAAGGAATAATATGATTGGAGGAAAATAAATTTATTATAATAAATTATAATAAATATTACTCTCTAATCAAAGATTGACACATGTTACAATTTGATTTAAAGATTAATTTTTTTTGAATTAAATTAAAATAAGACTAGATTGATAGAATAACTAGGTAACAACGACTAAATCTATAATTATATTAAAATTTTTAACTGCCATGTCTACACTTCCATTAATTGTTAACGACATGTGGCTTGATCGACAACAATTAAATAGTTAGATAGTCTGATTAACAAAATTAAAAGATTGGTGGTAAAAATAAAATGGTTAAATACTTAAGTGGTTAATGGTATAATTTATCCGTTCGAATGAAGTCTATTAATTGACTAATGGTAAAAAAGGACTAAAATGATTAAATGAGTAAAATTTTGGGGCATAAAAGTCTTTTTCCCTAAACAGTATGATAAGAAAATTTAATAAAAATTGACTGATCCTGGATTCGAACCGTTATGTTTACGACCATGTATATTCAATCATGACAATTAAGGATGGTGATGGTTTGAGACATTCTTCGTCAACCAGACACAATTTAAAAAGTACACCCATTTCTCAAAATACGACACGACTCGAAAAGTATATTTTTTCTATTCTATCTAATCCAACTCGATTTGAAAAGATTTTTTTTTTCTTCATTCAAATCTAGTTCAATCAAAATTTTAGGATAGAGTACACAAATGGTCTTTCGATTATACAACGTTGTTTTGTTAAGTCCGTCGACTATTAAAAGTTCTAAAATTATCCTATGAGTTTAGGGTGTTCTTTGTCGAATCTCTCGTCTATTAAAAGTTACAAAACAATCACTCGAATATTTATATATTCTAAACTTGTCATTTTCCATTAAAAAAAATTGACAATCGTTTGAGGTGGACGTTAACATACTGCATGAGATATGATAATCGTTCCAGATCTTGTGATAAGATTTTATTATATCTCAATCAGTAGGTTAATGCCCAACTCATATTGTCGTTATTTTTTTAAGGAAAAAAGACAAGTTTAGAACATATAAATAGTCAAACGACCATTTTGTATAAATTTTAATAGTCGAAGGATTCAGTCTAGCAATTCCTTATAGTTAAAGGCTTAGTTATAATTTTTAATAGTTGCTGGACTCCATAAAGTAATATAATATAGTCGAGGATCATTTATGTATTTTACCCAAAATATTAGGGTTGTTAATAAATAAGACAATTCTTTCTCTGCTCTGTCTTAGGCCACTCTGCCCTTTACCTTTTCAAAGGAATCATATTTGACCTAAGCAGATAGTAAAGATGTCTGATTATATGCACGAAGAATTGATTCTTGAAATCCTCAAAACACTCCCGGTGAAGTCCGTGGTGAAATGCAGGTCAGTTTGCAAGAAATGGAACACTCTCATTTGCCACCCATCTTTCGTTTCGGTTCATTTACAGGCTTCACTTTCGAGACCGCCCGACAACACTCCTTTCCTCCTCCTCACGAGCGAGAAAAAGGGCTGCGAAAAGTACTATTTGCACTACGACAATGATGGGTTTGATGAGTTCAAGCAGCTTCAAATCCCTCTCTTTGGTTACGTTTCTGAAGCTCCGGTGGTTGGTTGTTGCAATGGGTTGATTTGTCTTCAGTTGTTTTCAAGGTCTGATTGTTCGTATATATATTACTTTCTTTGGAACCCTTCTATTCAAAAGTACATTTCTTTGCCACGTCTGAGAATCGATAAAGATGCTGAATATTTATGTGTCGGGTTTGGGTTTGATTCGAGAACCAATGATTACAAGCTACTTTTAGCAGGGGCTGGAAGTGATAATTGTTGGATGAAGCCTTATTTGTTTTCACTTAATCATAAACGTTGGAAAAGGGTTACTGCTGTTTATCCTGATTATGGTTTTGGTCCTGAGACATTATTGCCTTTTGTTAATGGAGCTGTTCATTGGTTGGGACATCAGAATAGAAATGATGATAAAGCCAGAAATGAGATTTTGGGGTTTGATTTGAGTGCCGAGGTGTTTTTCGAGATGAGTTTGCCTGAGAGCTTGATTGGTTTGTATCCTGCACAGTTATCATGTATGCAATGCGGAGAATCTTCTATTGCTGTCCTTGCTATAAGTTGGGAAGGTGGTCGTGAGTTGCATCAATTGTGAGTCATGAAGGAGTATGGTGTAGCTGAATCATGGACCAAGGTGTTGGCAATACGTCAGGTTGATCGCTATGCATTTATTCCTTGGGCATCTGGGTTTAGAAAGAATGGGGATGTTCTGTTGCGACTGGGTTATGGAAATTTGGCTTCACTTGATTTGAATTGCCGAAAAATGGAGCTTCGTGGAGTTAAGATTTCGGAACAATTTATATCCGCAGCTGGTAGTTATGTTGAGAGTTTAGTGTTGCTGGACAAAGTCGATGCCCGTAGTGATAGTGATGTAGATAAGGATATAGATTCAAGAGATTATGATGATGTGTATAGTGATAGTGATTCTGTTGAATTCAGTCGGAGAGAGAGTGATAGGATTCAAGTGATTCTGACGAACCAAGTGGGAGAGAAAGTGATACGAGAGAGCGATTGGATACAAATGATTATGATGAACCGAGTGCAGAGTAAGTGATTCGACGTATTCATTATCTGTCTAAGTTTTAGTTTGTGTGGACTTGATATTTACCAAGATTTGTCTATACGAAACTCAAATTTAAGCTTGCATAAGAGATAGGTTTGTAAGCATAACCCTCCCTATGTTAGTTTAATTGAAGTAATACTTTGATATAAATTATAAATGTTGATTGTTGCTGTAAATGAATGACATGATCTCGCATTTGAGAAATTGTAAGAGTCCACTATGATATATGTGTGTAAAGTAGGAACTCAAACCCATACTTGTGAGCCATTTGTGGAACAAAATTGTGAATCCTGTTGAGCAGGTTAGGCATTGAAACATGCAAATATACCGAAAAGTTGACATGTCTATTCTTTGACCTTTGAAGATCAATATACTCCCCTTGTTTGTTCCGTGTAGTTAGGAGCCGTTTTCGTTATGTTTTCATGTTAGTAGTAAACCGATAATTTATGTTTGTTACCAAATGTCGATTCCTGCAATGCTATCTTGTGTTCATTATTTTCGTGTTGGTAGTAAACACTTTCTCTTTCTGAATTCTTGCAGGACGCTAAGGAACCATGCAGATACATGGGCCATTGAAGCATTCATCTGCCTTCTCATTACGCAGCAGAGCTTCCAAATGGTCTTTCTTCTGTGTCCTGCACTGCATTTTGTTTTCTGGTTGAACCGAGTCACTCTTGGGCAGTTTTCGTATTGACATACATTTGAAATGCGCAAACGGCCTTTGCTAATCTCGAACGGTCTCTCTTTAAAGCAATTTTAGCATACAAGTTAAAGAGGAAATCTATTATTTTGTTGGTTTGGGTTTCCCCCCCTTTCTTTAGACTTTAGGGATTGTTGATGTTACTACCTTATAAAGGTGATAGCGTGAATGATTGAGCTCAGTTATGTTTTAATTAATTAAATGGAAGTGAAGTTAATACAGTACTCTTGGTTACAGGGAAGGACATAGAAATTTATAATTTATATGCAGGCAGGGCTTGAAAAACAAAGGTTCGATGTCTAATCATAAGATATTGGTTCATGTAAATGCACCATGACTGTGCTTTGTGCTGGTTAATCTTTATCTTAAACACGTAGAATCAGAGGTTTTTAAAATTTATTTAAACTCCAAACACCATCGAATTTCTACTGTTGCCAATGACAGCGAGTTCTTTATATTTGTATGCTCCGACCCCGATAAGTCGTCGTCGTAAACTATACTAAACTTGTGGTTTATTTTTATTATATTATTTGCACAATTTTTATGGTGAAATTGTTTCTTTAAAATTAGTTGGAGTGGAAATAATACTAAATTACCTTTAATTATTTCTTTGTGATCTTTTTCACTCCAAAATGGCCAAGATGAATGGTTAGAGATGGTGCAATTTAGTGCTCAGTTGGTATCTTGTGTTCTTTTATCAATAAAAAAATATTTAATTATAGATTGCATTAATTATTTTCATTATATATATATAATTTGCACAATTTTCCAGATTAATTAAGTTTAAAGGTTAAGGATTCATTTATTTAAGAATTGAATCAATATATCTATTTGCATTTTATTAAAAAAAATTAGCTGTCTTTGAGAAACTTTGAACACTGCGTACAATAATTCCAAGCGCCATATATAAAATAGCTTCAAAATTATATCTAGCTGATATATATATATATATATATATATATAGGACCAAGAAATTTTCATGGTCATTGCCATCAATTCGTATGTACAAGAAAGGGTTTCAAAGATTTAGACAGTAAGAAACCAGAAATGGTAATGAGACTGTAAGGAAGCACTCTATTATATCAAGGATTCATGAACTCTATTTTAATTTGTACATGAAAAATATGATCACTGAGTAAGTCTCTGCATCTTGTTTTGGTCACCGAGTGATTCGATGAGAAGTGGGGGTGTGTATTGGGCGGTGCCTTGGTGCTCCTCCGAATCCTGGCAAAACGAAAGAATTATGGTGTCGATCGACATCTCCACCACGGCAAAGAAGAGAGTTGCTGCCACGTAACCAAGGGCCCAACATATCTGCAACAACACAATGTAAACACAGGTTACCGATTGTTATACCGGAATATGTCCGGCACAGGCATGTATCTGCATTCAGACATGAATTCAACATGAGTGTCGGATAGAAGTGCTTCGAGAAAAATGAAGAATTGAAGTAACACAAGTTATCAGCGTTATTTGAGGAAACTAGAAGCAGCAAAGAGTGATTTCTCATCATCGGAAATCAGAGCTTCACATGTTTGCTTGCTCATGGTGCATGGCATTTATAAATTTCAACCCCTCGCATGATTTTGTTACAAAGAAAAAGAAAATTACAAAGTAACGTAAAGTAACGTTAAATTTTTGAATGAAATACTAAAATGAAACAAAAATTAAACTCTCAATTGGTAATTTGTTTTCTTCTTCCTAGAAGTTTATAAGTTTGTCACCTTTTAATTTTAAAAGTTCGTTCTTTAACATAAAATCTTATGTTTGTCTCTAATTCGAAACGTATTTATTGTGGGGTTTGGTTTCAAGAGAAAATAAAGTGTAGCAAGCCCCCTGCCTTGCTTGAGTTGGATTGCTGTTCTCTAATGTCTAGTAATAGATTTGTCCCCGTGCTATTATAGTTGGAATCTTGGACCACTTCTCTCCTAGAAATTATTGTGCACACTTCCCACACTCTAGGCATGTTTAATGAAGATACTGATTAGGACTTACTTGAAAATCGAAGAGATTAAAAGATGAGAAAATAACTTCAGTGACCGAAAATGCCTTATAATATATGATTTTAATCAACTTTTTTTGGATTTGTAAAAATAACCAACGAATTCGCAACACGAACTCCAATTTCGCAACACAGTTTCCAAATTCGTGCGAATTTGGAATTCGCAACACGAATTTCCTAAATTCGCAACTCAGTTTTCAAATTCGCAATTCGAATTCGGATTTCGCAACTTAATTACCGAAAGAGGTAAACACGGTAGAAAAAATCTACAGTTCGTGTTGCGAAATTGGCGAATTCGAGTTGCGGATTTTTTCTACCATGTTTACCTATATTGGTAATTGAGTTGCGAAATTGGTTTGTGAAATTGGCGAATTCTTTTCTACCGTGTTTACCTATATCGGATATTGAGTTGCGAAATCCGAATTCGAGTTGCGAATTTGAAAATTGGGTTGCGAATTTGGGAAATTCATGTTGCGACGAATTTGGAAACTGTGTTGCGAAATTGGAGTTCGTGTTGCGAATTTGAAATCGTATATTATAAGGCATTTTCAGTCACTGAAGTTATTTTCTCTTAAAAGATTCTTCAACGAGTTTGAACAAAAAGATTAAAAAAATACTCTAAAGTTAAAACTTTTTGATTCGTCACTATTAACTATGATCAAATCAACTTGAAATCGAATTATGTTAATCTTCTATCCAAACAGAACCTTCTCATCACTGGGATTGATCGATAACTACTCCGTTCACGAGAAATTCAAATATTATAACGGATGGGAATTTAGAAAATTAGGTTTTGGGGAGAGAAGACTCCACATCGGTATTTTCTAGGAGTAATGACCGTAATAAAAGTGAACTAGAAATTTAATAATTGTAGTGTAAGTTTTAAAAACTCGATGATTAAAATGAAAACATCTTAGAAATTCAATGACTATCCGTGTAGTTTACATCATCATAAATACTAACCAGACCCTGTCTTCTTGTTTTACACTTTTATTGTGTTGGAGTAGTTGAAGATGATCGTATCAATTTCTATCAATTAAATGCATGGCAGGTGCGAGTTTTATTCATCATTCAGAAAGTGGGGCAAGTTATTTATGGTTCTAGCCTCACCCAGTCCAATCTCATGTAATCTACCATTTCTCTCTTGCCAAATATAGTAAAGGTAACAACACCAAGCAATCCGAATGATGGTTCCCTGCAAGGATTTTCCTTTACCATGAGCTATAATCCAATTCATTGTATCTCTCCAACAACATCCAGACCGATGAACGTGACAAGCCCGTAAAATACTTGGCCAAACCTGTCTAGCGAAACTACATTCAACAAAAATATGGTCTCTATTTTCAACACCATAATCACAAAGAACACAAGTAGGATCAATATGACCCCCCCCGATGGAGCATACGGACCTTTGTTCGTAAACGATCAAAAAGAACTAACCATGAAATGAACGAGTGTCGGGGGATAGACAGACCTCCCCAGATGATCGTACACCAAAGAAACTTATCTCGCTTGCACCGAAGAATCTCCCAAACCTTCCTCGATTGATAGCTCCCATCCAAACCACCCACAAGAGCATAGTCATCCCTCAAACTCAAAATCTTCTTTCATGCCCAACCATGATTACTTTTCAGTTGGGCATGCCAAAGAGAACACCCCTTCAAAATATACTTCTTAACCCAAGTCACCCAAAGAGAACTTGACTGGGTAAGAAGAAGCCACAAGCACTTCATCATACATGCTCTATTCCATCCAAGAACACTTTTAGGGTGCGTTTGGTTCACGGAATATAAGATTACCAGTGGGAATAAAAGATTACCAGGGAATAAGATTACTGAGAATGTTGTATTTTGTATTTGGTTGGTTTAGCAGGAATGTAAGATTACCATGTTTGGTTAAAAGAATAAAAGATTATTAGAATGTATATTTGACCAAATTGTCCTTATTATATATTTGTTTTTTTAACAAGTTGGAAAATATTTATATATTTTCTTTAAGAAATTTAAATTCATAAAATTTACATATATTTTTTTTACAAAATTGAAACTATAAAAAGGTTTAATGAAAGGGTAAAATTTTATTTTAACCCCTGAACTTCATAGTTTAAGGATAAATTTGTAATTTAACATTCATAGAATTTTTATTATTCAATGACATAATAAGGATATTTTTGAAAAAAAATAATTTTAAGGGCATTATAGTCCAAAACATTGGTAATCCAACAATACCTAAGGAAAGGGAGGTAATATCATTCCTGGTAATATACCCCAAAAAATCCACTATTGGTAATGTAATATACCCGGTAATGACATTTGGCAAAACAGACATGTTCCCAACTAACACGCGTTCTCTTGACCAAACCATCTCAACCTTTCCAAAGAAACACATTATACAATTGTTCAATCCGCTTTAGAACTTTAGATAGCAATAAGAACACTCTACCCCAAAAATTTTGGATTCTAAACACAACTTGAATAAGCTGCAGCCTCCCTACAAAAGACAGACACTTAGATGACCAGCTACAAATTCTTCTAACAGTCTTCCTCATTAGACCCTCACAATCAGAATAAGAAAGCATCCTAGACATAAGAGGGACCCCCAAATAAC